CTTCCTTAGAAAAAAACCTTCCGGATTTCACAAGACCTTTATCTGCAAATGAATTGCTCTGTTTCTCCTCCCACTCAGCTTGGCTTCCGGATAATGCTGTGTTTGGCAGCTTCCAATGGTCTTCCTACCTGCATTTATCTTTTCCAAATTAGAGGCAGCTGGGCAATTTTAGGACAACAACAACTCACTAATTCCCTCTTTTCTAATTTATTAAGTCAGTAATTCTCTCAAACTTCAGGAGATTGATTTGGCTTTGAAACAGAGAACTATACTAGTTATGTGGTCTTAAACTTTTTAGGCTTTATTATTTTATAAATATTCTGTAACAATGTGAAGTTTTAACAATACCACTTATTAGAATAAAAAATATTATGTGTTGTGAAAGCTCTATTCTTTTTACCTATTTTTAAATGGATGTGATAAAACCAACTGGATTTGGTCTCCCATTCGAAGAGAGAAACCATTTAATTTCCATTATACACAGCAGCAAGTGGCCAGGAAAAGACCCTGAAGTTGAAAAAAATACTTAAGTTGCTTTTGAATAAAGAATAAAGAATTCTTATTTGCTAAACAAAAACCCCATTTGTTTTATGTTAACAGTGTTTTTGTAATTGTCTTGTAGTTTTAGCTTTACATTTAGTCCCTTGATCCATCTCGAGTATTTCTGTATATTATGTGAGACTAGAGGCCTGGTATGGTGCATGACATTTGTGCACTGGGGGGGTGGGGGTGGCGGGTGTGGATCCCTCAGACACGCCTGTGCCTTCTCGCAGTCTGGGACCCCTCAGGGAATGTCTGACTGCTGGCTTAGGCCCGCTCTCCATGGAGGTAGGAGAGGCTCCTGTGGAAGCGGGAGAGGAAACTGTGGAGGCAAGAGAGGCTCCTGCACCACTGTGCTCGTCAGCTGTCAGCCTGGTTTCTGGCTGAGTGGTGCTTCCCCTGTGGGAGCGCACTAACCACCAGGGGGCAGCTCCTGCATTGAGCATCTGCCCCCTGGTGGTCAGTGTGCGCCATAGCGACCAGTCATTCCGATGTTTGGTCAATTTGCATATTAGGATTTTATTATATAGGATAGGCATTGATTACAGTTTCTTTTATCAATATGGATATTTAGTTGTTCTAGCACCATTTGTTTTTTTGTTTTTTTTCCAATGACATTTTATATTCACTACTAGAGGCCCAATGGGGCCCCTTGGCCTGACCTGTGGGGATTAGCCAAACTGGCTCTCCAGTATGCCCCGAGGGGTCCTGGATTGCAAGAGGGCAGTTCTCAGGTGATGCACCCCAGAATCGGGCTTCCTCCTCTCTGGGTCCGGGGTGCGGGTAAAGTAGATTCAGGGCTGACAGTGCCCCAACAGCAACCTAACCCAAGCCAATTCCATGAGGAATCGGACTCTCTTCTCTACTGGTCGGAGCATTTGCCCTTGGTGGTCATTGCGCATCATAACTACCAGGTGAACGGTCAGTTGGACAGCCACTTAGGCTTTTATATATAGAGACCAGAGGCCCAGCGCACGAAATCATGTGTGTGTGGGGTCCCTAGGCCTAGCCTGTGATCAGAGCCATGTCCACCACTCCGCGATGCTGCCACCGCCCCGGGGTGCTTCGCGATGCTGATGCTGCCCCGGGACGCTCCGTGGTGCTGCTCGCTGCTGCTGCTGCTGCCTCCCTGCAAGGCCTTGTGACACTGCTCAAGATGCTCTGCTCTGTGAAGCTGCCGCCACCCCACGACACTCCATGAAGCTGCTTGCCGCCACCCCAGGACGCTCTGCAAAGTTGCCGCTGCCCCGGGATTCCCTGGGACACTCCACAATGCTGCCACTGCTCTGTGAGTCCAGTCCCCAGACCCACTCCACTGTCACCCAATCCGGTTCTGGTGGTTCCCTGTTGGCCATCTAGCGATGGGAGCCTGAGGGCTGGTGGGAGGGACCGAGAGGTGGTCAATGCACCTCATAGCAACTGGTCAATTGGTTGGTCTGATCATGATGCCTGGCCTTTTATTGTTATAGATTATTTTGTATTACTTTCAGGAATTTAGCGCCATGTGTTGAAAATAATTTTATTTCTTCCTCATTATTGGTGACTTCCCAGTAGAAATTTAGATAATTTGTTGGGGGCCAGATGTAAGCTGGCAAGGTCCTTGCACCTGTAGGGGCTAGCAAGGCTGGGACCCTTACCCACACAGTTTTCCCAGACTTGTTTGGATGGCGATTGTCAGTAGAATGGGAGTAACATTTGTAGAATGAGAACAGCCTTTCATAGCTTGCCCAGAAGTCTGTAACTATTTACTGAGATATGCTGTACTGAGAACTTGTCCTTCTGCTGTATCTCTCTCTCTTAGAGATTAAGAGGGACAAAGAATACATTCCTCTTGACAGACCTCCTATTCAGTGTGTTGTGTATAAATAGGATTGTATAGCTAATAAACTCGCTTCAGTTCATCAAGAGAACTGGGGTCCTCCCGACCTCGCTTTCCTGTCTTTCTTTTCTCAATTCCCACCGCCCTGCCTCA